AATTCTACTATTATAATTATTATGTGAGTATATTTCATAAAGAGCATTGGAATTATGTAATCACTTCAAAAATGGGCATTGTAGTATGGGTTGGTTCGCACCTGGAATGAACATTTTTTCTTTGTAAATGGTTACTGTATCATATTCTAGATAAATTACGATTTACGAATAGACCTGGCAAATTATGAAATACACTAATAGACTCAATATTTAGATTATATATTGCATAATGCGTATTGCTTGATATTTCGGGATATGATACAATCTGATGTTTTTAAATTCACCTGTGCATCCAAATATATAATCTACCTAATGTCCAAGAAATGAGTTTTAACAATAACATCACAAGATTCAAAAGGGGCAATCTTTCATAGAAGGTGTGCTGAATTGCTGACTCGGTTTATAGTAAAATTTGGACAATATCATCTCTTTCATAAGCATATGCCAACTCATCAAGATCTCTTTCTCTGAACTCATATTAGGATCCGATATAGTTTAATGAATACTGGGTTTGATCAAGATCACAAGATCTTTGTTCAGCTGACTATAAACGTACAGACTATACTGTATGTACAGATTTATGGTTCCTGGTTTCAAAGTTATTGTAACGCTTTGTCCACATCCACACTTGATAAACATTGTTTTAAGAACAAATCGGTCCACATTCAATACCAGAGCCTAATCTGACATGCTACACTATCACATATGCATTTTGGACCGATTCTGGGAGGCATTCCATGTCAATCAGATAAATAACCATATCTGGCATAATTGATGTGACATGGAGAAGCTTATCTTTAACTGTTCCATATATAGCAGTTACTCTGCCTCTCGCTCAGCTCTTGTTAAAGTCATCATCGTTAATTACTGGTTAATTAGGTTCTGACTGCACTAGACTGCACCCAATGTTTAGTAGTGGGGCTTCTGGTTGTTTTTTATCTTCAAAATGGCCACCCGTGTAGCTCAGCGGTAGCGCAGGTACCTCTTGCGCAATAGGTCCCAGATTCGATCCCCGGTTCAGGCAAGACTAAATTTGCTTGTTTGCGTGAAGTAATTCAGGGTGTTTGACTGAGTGGTCTGCAACTCGTACAAAAGGCTGTGGTGTGTACTTATATGTCTATGTATAGGTGCACATAAAAGAACACAGGGTTCCTTCAAGGAGGGGTTTCTGGGTCTAGCGTCCATGTTAATTATGTAAATTACGACCGTATATATACGGGACATACCCAAGAGGTATTGCTCACCTTCATTGGTGGTAAACAAAATACAATACAATACAATCAATTGGATGAAGTTTACATGCATCTGAAGAGCTTTAACATTCAGAGGGAAATTATTTCTACTCGGCATTTTTATACACATACAAATGATGCTTCTTTCATTTCCTGGATACCAAATTCTGACATGAACATACCCATGGATGTCATAAATCTTGTCAGCATGTACATATTCTTACAGGAACAATCAGGGTAATACCATTGCTCTGAAACTGCTATATGTTGTCGCTGCTGGTCGTTGGTAGATATGATATACTCTTGGCCAAAAACATAGCTTAATTCTCTGAGCTTCCATCAACAATACCATTTTTGTTGTTAGTTTCATTGACTTCATAATGGGTTTGATATACAGCGATGTAGTCAGCCCCTTATCTTTTGCTAACTTTGTATTGTGGCCACCATACTTTGGAATGAACCTCCCTGTCAGATGATATCAAAGTCTTGATTCTGAGCATGTGTCAGTGGTTTGGTCAGGAAACATGTTTGTAGCATGGCACTGATTTATACAGCACCTGGGGCTATTATCTTAATCTGCATTTAGGTAATCAAACAGGTGATATAGCATTATAAACCACAATTTTATATAAAATGATGTAATTTATGATGTAACTAATTATTATTTTGCACATAAATAATTTATAAATATCTGTAGTTATGCCTAGCATGCTTATATTTTAAAATATCAGTTGATTCATGTGCAAAGAAAACATGTATATGGTGTTTTTAAGTGGAGAGAGTGCCACACCCCATCTATAATGATTACATAATTCCAATGCCAATTTATGAAGAATACTCAACCTGCAGTATTTTGAAACCTTGGTAATACCTTTTCAATTGATGAAGATATATATTTGGGTCATACTTTAGCAGTCACAAAAATATGAAGAAACTCTGCTAAAAAAGTGAAAACAGTGACAAAATTGAACCTCGGCCACCTTAGATTGTAACGTCATGAATGATGTAATTAATTAATATTTTACACATGAACCATTTATAGCTGTAGCTGAATTTATAACTAACATCCTAATTTCAATACATCAGTTGGTTTGTGTGCAGAAACAACCTTCATATTGTGGTTTGTAAAGTAAAGCACCATGCCCCTGGTATGTTGACAAAATTGACACACTCACCTTAGATTGTTACGTCATTAATTATGTAATTAATTAACACATTGCACATCAATCATTTATAGCTATCTGAAGTTATTACTAGCATGTTAATACTTAAATAAAACATTTGGTTCTTGAGCAGAAACAACCTTCATATGATGGTTTTTGAAGTAAAGTGCCACGCCGCCTCCTAAAATCATTACATAATTTTAATGCCTAATTATGAAAAATTAAAACCTGCTGTATTTTGCAACTTGCTAATATTTGTTCAGTTGTTAAACATAGAATACCTGGGTCATATCTTGGGAATTGTTCAAAAATATTAGGAGACTCAGCTAAAAAAGTGAAAATGAGTAAAGAGAAGCAAAATTGCCATATCCACCTGAAATTGTTACGTAATATATCATTTAATTGCTTTACATCGTGCTCATAAATCATTTCTAGCTATCTGTAGTTATTACTAGCATGCTTACACTTTAAGATATCAGTCTATTGCATTTTATAAAAAATGCTCAACCTGCACAATTTTGCATCTTCCTAATATTTTATGCAGACACAATAAGGTATCCAAAAATGCAAAGAAAAAAACTTTCTACCACAAAACGACCTTTGGGGTCATTTTCCTATTTGCCAACTGGACTAAAGGGGAGATTTTGCCAAGAGGGGGGGGGGCTTTTTGACGATTTTGGCCAAAAAATCATGCGAAAAGTGCTAAGAATGGTGAAAACTGCATGATTTTGAACGAATATTTGGCAAGGAGGGGGGTGAGGCCCCCTGGCAACGGCCCTGGAATACATATAGGAACTTTCCTTCTCCCAGAAGAAATGGTAAACAGGTATTACATCAATCATTCTGGTATTTTGTATAGGAAGGTGTGTAGTACACTCGTTATTGAAAGATGGCAGTGTACACTGTGTAAACCATTTTGAGGTCAGTTTGACTTTTTTTATTTCCCGCACTCGAATCTGTAATGCATCACTGTGATCCAAAATTACAATTTCGCGGGTCAAGTCAGCAGTCTTTCGAAAAAAGTTGAATTCGTTGTGCTACCCTTTCTTGTTGGGTATTTATTAACAGAAAACTATATTTCCATCGCGGCAAGCATATACTATCTTTAGCGCGATATGTTCAGTGTGTTAATATTCTGGCTAAAGAAATAAAGTGCGGAAAAATCGATCTGACTGTGCCGCGGTGTGTGATATCACTCCCATGTTAAAACTCCATTGAATTTTAAATTCTTCGGTATATCCCCTTTCGCTTTCCGTAAAGCTACGTTCACACCAATGGCGCTTTAAAGCGGCTTGTAAAGCGGCACCAAAGCGTAACAAAGCTTGATTAAGGCGTCGGGGTCGTAATAGGTAGTAGAAAAGATCGGAGTTAAGCGGGATATTCGGCAAGAGCGCAAAAATTAAAACTATTCAAGCTACGTTCGCACCAACGGCGATTTGATGGCGCTTTAAAGCGGCTTGTAAAGCGGCACCAACGCGTAACAAAGCTTGATTAAAGCGTCGGGGTCGTAATGGGTCGTAGAAAGGTTCGGAGTAGAGCGGGATAATCGGCAAGAGCGCCAAAAAAATTTAAACTGCGGGGACCCCAGTCTCTTCACTGTCTGTTACCACTTGACACGCTTCGTTAAGCTGTCTCAAGATTTGCTACGATCTGGCATGAAGATCTGACACGAGGTCAGACGCTTTCATTAATATCTGACACTCTTTATTACAATTTCATGAAGGACTCTCAAGCTTTCTTACGAATTGAGACGCTTTAATTGAGGATTGAAACGCTTTGCTAGGCTTTGTTACGCTTGACAAGTTTCCACATGCTATATCACGCCGTGCGACAAACATCATGTCTTCTTCAGATAGGTCATGCTCTGGTCCATCTGGAATTTCTGGATCTTGTTGTTCTGCCATCGTGTTCTCGAGTCAAAGATGCAATGGTTTTATGGATCTACTGCATCTTTATATAGTGCACAACAGAGCTTGGCAATCGTATCAGAGCCTGATTTAAAGCGTCATTATCGCATCAAAGCGTAATAATGCTTATCAAAGCTTATCCAAAGCGTGATTTCAAGCGTAAGAAAGCCTGGCCAAAGCGGGATCAAAGCGTGAGGAACCTATCAGAGCTATGCTAAGCTTTCCTACGCTTTGGATCAAGCTTTTCTGAGTTTTGTTACGGTTTGTTAAGCTTTGATACGCTCTGGGGCTTTAATCAATTCGTAACAGAGCGCTCAAAATTTTTAAACAGTTTAAAATTTTTTGGCGCTCTTGCCGAATATCCCGCTTTACTCTGAGCTTTTCTACGACCTATTACGACCCCGACGCTTTAATCAAGCTATGTTACGCTTTGGTGCCGCTTTAAAGCGCCATCAAAGCGTCGTTGGTATGAACAAAAATGACAAAAATGACGGCGCTTTGCTCGCCAATTTAAAGCGTGGCATTCGCCGTTGGTATGAACATAGCTTAAGGAGCATAACAGCTCATTCATGTATAATCGACTCACCCTAGCATACGCAAGATATACTGAATATATTAAATAATCGCATTGTATCAATCTACGTATATTAGCCATGAATCAAATAATGCTCTAGCCAACTGGACAGCGTGAAGGTTACCTTGAGTAAATTGTCCTGGAGATTTTGGGTTCTCGTGCCAGTATCTGTCCCCCGCCCTCAGTGCTTCGAACTGGCGGCCTATGATACATGCAAATGTTGGGCCAACACTTCCACCAAACACTAGTTTCTCTGACACACCCGCAGGAAACAAGTCTATGTCATCAACAGTGCTGAAAGATGTTATCATATTTATGGTATACACACTAAGCAAACTGATAGCAATTGTAAAAAATTGCAAAAATCGTAATTGTATGTAACGGACATTTTGAAAATTGGCTTTCGAGCAGAACTCCTTATACTCTCTACATCCCCCGAAAACAAGTCGGATTTTTAGTAAAAATTGGGAATAATCAGGATTGTCTACCAAGAAATGCATGTGTGTGGAATGGATAATCTCATTTAGAAATATATCAAGAGATACTACAATGCGAATTGAAACTCACTCATAAAGTGACTTGAATTTAGTCCAGATTTCTTGTGATAACTCCTTGGGCCGTGAGTACCAGCTGGTCAAAGGTTGGAGTCTACACAGCTTCCTCCATGAGTTGTAACCTTGAAATGATTAGTTTGTAGAAATAGGACATACATATTAAATAAAGCAGTAATACATACAAGCAAAGTTATTACGGAATTAATGGAAATGTATCCGTGCTGTATACAGGTGTACATACAGACCACTTACTTTGACAACTGGATAGATCTCCCAACGATGTCCTCTATTGAAAAAATGCTGGCATATTTGACATGACTTCCTATTTTTAAATATATGGAGAGTTAGACTGTAAGCAGGTCTTAGAAAAGCCTTCAGAAATTTGCCGATCACGGCATTTGAGTGTAGAGTTTAGCCACCTATGACAAATTGTTGGCATACTCAAAGGCTGTAACTTGTAGCGGTAGAGGGTTTGGTAGGGGTGGTGGGGCAGAGATATTAGAGACCTTAAGATATACGGACGACCTGTACGTGTACCTGTAATTACACGTACACGTACAGGTTTTTTTGTGCGCCTAAAACAAGTCCTTAGTCACTCGTCGACGTGTACGTGTACGAAACAAGGAATTAGTGGCTATCTGGTGATGAAAGTATGATATTTTAAATCGGCCTACACACATATCCATAGTGGTTCTGTATGGGGGAAGTGTAATTTGCTTAAGGCATATAGATAAGA